CCAGCTCCGTTTTGAAGAGCGAGGGGAATGGGGTGAGCCATTACAAACATTGCCTCTATCTCCCCTTGTAAGTACTCTCACACTTCTTATCACACTGTCTGTACTCGGCTAGCTTGATTATTACTTCGAAAGGGTTTTTTTTTTTTTTTTTTTCTTAATTAATTGGCCTCTCAGAGTTGGTAAGACAACTCCCACCTGTTTATGCTCTCTGTATGTGTGTATATATATCTCCTCATTATATGTTCCATTCTATATGCATCCGAAGAAGTGGGCTGTAGTCCACGAAAGCTTATGCTCTAATAAATTTGTTAGTCTCTAAGGTGCCACAAATACTCCTATTCTTCTTTTTGCGGATACAGACTAACACGGCTGTTACTCTGGAACTCCAGTGTTTTCCACAAAAAGAAGAACAGGAGTACTTGTGGCACCTTAGAGACTAACAAATTTATTAGAGCATAAGCTTTCGTGGACTACAGCCCACTTCTTCGGATGCATATAGAATGGAACATATAATGAGGAGATATATATACACACATACAGAGAGCATAAACAGGTGGGAGTTGTCTTACCAACTCTGAGAGGCCAATTAAGAAGAAAAAAAAAAAAACTTTTGAAGTGATAATCAAGATGGAGTCACTCCAGGCTTTCACCTGAGTAAATGAGATCACGATGAGTAAATCAAATGCAATGCAAAACAAGACTGCATTTGTCTAACCAATTGCTCCAATGATATCTATGAGAGTCCTACGTACGTATTTGGTCAGGTCATCAAGGAGCTGGAAATCTCCACTGAGTCCCAGTATCTTTCGTAGTTCATCTATCATTTTGGCTGTCTTCACCACCGTGGAGAGCTTCAAGTAGCTTGTAATCTTAACCACTGCGGCCTCAGCCCACTCAGACTTGCTGCCGGATCCTCCCTCGCTCTTCTCCATGATTTTAAATTCATTTCTGAGCAGCTTTTCATCTGTTAGCAGCTTTTCATCTGTTAGCAGCTTTCCAAACTGTCTCTCAATGTCACCAAGGCTGATGGAAAAATTTTTAAGGGCCAGATAGGTGGTTTGAAAATGGACCATGGCCGGGAGGTAAATGTTTTCCTGCACTTCATCCAGGGAAAGAAGGGCTTTGTCTGGGAAAACATCCTTGGCACGTTCCGCTTTCAGCTTCCACAGTTTCTGGAAGAACTGGCTTTCCTGTAGGGTGTGAACTTTTCTAACCATGTCATCGTGTTTAGCGAGTGGGTGCGACTGCAGATCTTCACTTTTCTCCTTTCCATGTGTGGAGTATTTCTTCACCAGCATCTGATCCTTAATGCTCAGTTTCATTGCAACGCTTTGTTCCATGGCACCTACATCAACTAAACAGTGCGGGGATAGAGATTTATTAACATGTAATTAATAGATACCAAGGCCAGAAAGAATCACTGTGATTATCTAGTCTGACCATCTGTATAACACAGGCCACAGGACTTCCCCAAAATAATCCTGTGTGAACTAGAGCAGATCTTGTAGAAAAACATTTGCCCTTTAAATGACCATGACAAATAGATTTTTATATGAACATTCATAATTCTCATGGTCTTTCAATAAAATAATGACATGGTTATCTGGGATAGCAGCTAACTCTGTGTGTAGCAGAGTCATAGAGGGTGGGACAGTAAACATTATAAATGTAATTAAATACAGAGAGCTGCACTGAAAGAAGGTTACAGTTGCAAAGTATTCAAGTATTAGGAAATTCCCGCATGTAACCACTGCTGTGACATCTGCCTGAGTCTGCAGACAGCCTGTGACAATCATTCTGAAAGGAGGAACTGCCCCAAGTGTAACCCTTCCACAGAGGAAAATTCTCAGTCTAGCTGTAAAGCGGATTCATAGAGGCCAGAAAGAATTATTCCGATCTTCCAATCCAGCTTCCGGCATAACCCAGGCCAGAGAATCTTCCCCAGTGACTCCTGCATCCGGCCCAGTAACTGCTGGCTGAGCTAGAGTGGAGCGTTGAGAAAGAGATGCCCCATCTCCATTGTCAGATTCCCAGGGATGGAGAATCCATCCCATCCCTAGGGGAGCTATTCTAGTGGTGAATTCCCCTTGCCGGGAAACACAGGCCCCTTATTCCCAGCCTGAATTTGTCTCCCGTCAGTTCCCAGCCAGCGAGTCTGGCTTTGTCTTTGTCTGGAGGTTAAAGACCCTTCTACTCCCAGCTATTCCTTCCTTGTGTTGATCCTTATGGACCAGGATCATGTCACCTCTTAACCTTCTTTTGGATAAGCACAGTAGGTTGAGCTCCCACTAGGGTGACCAGATGTCCCGATTTTATCGGGACTGTCCCGATATTTGCTTCTTTGTCCCGCGTCCTGAACGATGTTCGGTCGGGACACTGGACAAACAAGCAATTTTGCCCTCCGCTCCGGTGCACAGGCGGAGCCTGGAGGGGCTCTCGCCCCCTCCACCCCCAGCCCCTTCCTTCCTTTCCCTATTGGATCCCTCCCCAAATCCCCGCCCTGGCCCTGCCTCTTCCCCAAGCATGCCGCATTCCTGTATTTGCCCTCTTAGTCACTAAACTGCACTGGGAGCTCATGTTCAGTTGATTTCCATCAGGACCCCTAACCTGTTTCTAGTGTGTCTGCTTTCCAGGATACAGTCCTCCCATCCACTAAGTGTGTAATCAATTCCATCATTATGTACTGCAGGAAAACAGAACAGGATGGTACCTTTTATAATGTCCATGATGCAGCTGCACAGACACAAAAATGCTCGTCTTTGCTGTGTCTGTTTTTTCAGCTGCCCAAATTCATTTTGCCTGACATACAGCACTTCCTTTATATATTGAGAGAAAGATGGCTCTGAAAAAGAGTTACAGAGGGTTTTTGAGACCATCACTGTGATATGGGGAAGCTGCCCTGAATGTAACTGATGCAGCAACAAATATCTGCCAGAGTCTGCAGAGAGCCTCAGATAATAGCACTGAGAGGTGTGGGTGGAGTTTATTTTGTGGGAAGAGCTTGGAAGAGAACCTGTCCCACAACTTTTTACTAAACATACAAAGATTTTGCAAGCAGCATGCGGTATTGGAGCTCCCGGTGTAACCAGCATAAACAGCCAAAACTGAATATTGTAAATGCTTAGAATGCAACTGTATGTTTAAAATAAATGGTGCTGCAAATATCTAACTGCTACTAGATATGCATAAAATTCAATCCATCACATTTAACACAGTGGTTTTCAATTACCCCCCTCCCCATATTTTAGGACTCCACCTTTGAATATTTTATTTATTAACAACAATTGGTTTTATGTTCTATAGAAGTTGCAATAACATATGGGTTTGCATTTTATATTCATTTTTCCTTTCTGACTGTGTTACATAAAAATTAATATGT